CCCCCCCCCCCCCCGTCATGTTACCCACCCAAGTACACCTCCTGGGGCTTGACAGCCTACTTAATATGTTCTTGAAGGATTGATTAGAATTGATTTTAACTTTAGTTACTCTTCTGGAGGCAATTAATTTACAGAGCAATAGCATTGCTGGAATAAAATATGAATTTCCAAAATGTGTTTGAACTGTAATAAGGATTGCCATATTTGATGAAAATTATTATTGTTAAAGCATCACAGTATATTTTTTGTGTGAAAAAGCATTTAAGACTTAATATATTAAGGCACGCATAGGTTTGCAGAAGAATATAATCCTATATGGCTGATTTTCCAATTTTTGCAATTCCCATTAATTTCACTGAAATATTTGAATATACTTGGCCTTTCCTTTATTTGATAGAAATTATCAACAGTAAAAGGTTTCTGAAATATTTGATTTCCCTTCTGCTAGTTTTTGAACTTGCGTTTTAAGCTTTTTGATCACAATTTCTTCTTTTAAATGGCATTTTTGCTGTTCTTAAGCCCCGTTTACGCTGGCAATTTTTGTGGCGATTTTTGCTGCAATTTTTGTGGCAATTTGGGGAAATATGAAATCTTTTGTCTCATCCTTCAAAAGAGACATTCGTCTAGGAAAATCTTGGTATCCTGAAAAAAACTTTACAAGTAAATTCTTTACCATTACTTATTATGGACAAAATGGGAAAAAAATTGCAGCAAAAATCGCCACAAAAATCTCTAGTGTAAACAGGGCTTTATGATCCTATTTTTAACACTGATGTTTTTTCACTTCATAATTGCTACTTTGACATATTTTCATAATAAGTTTAACCTCATTTACATTTTAGCTTTTTTTGTTATTAATTTTGTTATTTCTTTCTTTAACTTCCTCAATCTTTATTGAATCTTTATTGACTATGTTTTATTTAAATGTAGACAGTTTTATAAGACACACTAAGAATGAATAGTGGAATTAATGTATTACTTAGTCTTATACTGAAAGATGAATTGCTTTGTCTTGGCAATTCATGTCCTTTTTTTTTCTTTTGGCAATCAACTCTTTACTTCAAGTATTACCATATGAATGGAAACTTTTCCAAGTATTAAATGAAAAGAAACGATAGGTTTAAATGGAAAAGCAGTGTGTGTTCTAAACTATACAGAACACAACAGAGTTACTCATAGTAAATTGATTTATGCATAATGTATATGTTTCAACTTTGTAATCCATTGAACATTTTATTCTTAAGTCAGCAAAAAGATTTTTTAAATTTATAATTTTGTCAAGTTTTCCTATATTGAGATCATTGATTTAACAATATCAAACCGAAATATTTTCAAGGTTGTGTTATATATCACAGATACAAAAGAAATGAAATGTTATGTAAACAACAAAAAATTCAATTTATGATCTAAAGATTAAAGATTGATTCTCCTATGATTATAACTGTTCGTCACTAAGATATTTTTCTGAGTTAAACCCTTGCATGTACTCAAAAAGGGATCATTGCCATACATACCTCCTCTAACATCTTATTCACATTATTAATTCAAGTGAAATATTGATCAAGTCTGCTTGATAAAAATTTATTCATGTTTGAATCATACAAAAAAAAAATTAGAAAAAATCTGAGTTCCATATATAATCCACCTTCATCCTCTATCAGATCAACTGCTGTTTCTATTTACAAACATTCTTGTAAAATATGAGAGATGAGGCGGTAAGCCGTGTGGGATGGGCTCATAAATCATATACTGTAAGAACATGCGTAATAGGTAAATTACGAGCCTTGTATGAAACGACTGAAGAAGAGGGCCAATGGGCCTTTCACAACTTCAAGTCACATAAAAAATGAGCCAGCTCAACTAGAAACTGTGGACAGCTGTTTCAGCCTGTATTGGGCTTCATCAGCAYGGTGTATCATGCGACTTGAAGTTGTGAAAGGCCCATTGGCCCCTTTTCTTCAGTCGTTTCATACAAGGCTCGTAATTTACCTATTACGCATGTTCTTGTAAAATATGATCAATTCAAATTGAATTGTTTTATTTTGGAGGCATTACTACACCATTATTACATATGTCAAGACTTCTAAAGAATAATTTTTCCAGTACTRATAGAAGATAAAATGAGCACCAAAAATCCCCTGTAGCTCAGCGATATACAGCAGAGTAGCTGCGACTGCGATAAAGAAGGCTGTAGTTTTCATTGCCATCAGGGAATCATGTTTTTGTGCTAAATAATAATATTATCCAATCCTATACTATTATTTTATGAATGGTAATTATTACCTTTATGTATAAACCTAAAATTTACAAGGAAAAGACTTAATAATATATCCTGGTTGAAAAAATCAGCTCCCATTCAATGTTACAAAATATTCATTTTATGCAAATTTATTATCAATTGAATTCACCATTTTTATTTTTGTCAATTCTCCAAAAAAGATAAATTATGATCCCTCAAAATAAATTATTAACTCACAAATCTAAAAAACTCTTGACCTAAACATAACATTTTTAATTGAGCTACTGAATATTGTCAAAAAAAACTAGTTTCCCAATAATTTGAATAAGATAATATTAAGGGGTTTTTTTTCATTAACTTGGAGCTGGAGATTTTTTTATTCTTTTTTGTCATTCTGTTTATTTAGCTGTGCAATGCTTCAAGTGTTAACTGTAAAAATTTATGAAATATCAATTTTGTTTTCTTTCTATCTGCTCTTTTGATTCCAAAGAAAATATAAAGCAAACAAGGCTATAGTAATTCATATCATATCTTTTTCTTTTATAGAAAGAGGAATTAAGTTTTATTTCTTTTGATATTGTTTTATTTTGACAAAATGTGTTATTAGTTTATTGATAGAAACCAGTCTTGTAAAATTGCATTTAACTCAGGATTTTGAAAAAATTGCTGGAAAAAAATCATTACAAATTAAATAGTCAAATAAATTTTGTCCTCAAAAAGGTTTAATTAATATTCTTGCTTTAAAAGTAAATGAGCAAAGGGCTCAAGGTCTGAAAGCTTAGTAAAATTGRTTGTACTTTTTCCTCAATGGTGTTAACATTATAGTCATTAATTTTGGTTATGATCTTTACACCCACGCAGTCTTGACCATGAATAATAGTTCCAAGCCAAGGCTGAAGTTGCCATGCATGATAAAAAGTATAGTTTTGCTATGCGCGGAAACTCCAGCCTCAACTTAGGACTATTATTCATGATCAC